GTTCTATTAAGACTTCAATATTAGAATTAAATTAATGGTGTAGTTATAATTCTATATTAGACTTTAATATTAGAATTAGACTAACGGTGAATTAACGGAAAAGTTAAATGGATAATCATATAATTAAGGATAAATTAGAAAATCTTAAAAGAAAAAAATTAAAACCTGAACAATATGAACCATTCATTTGATTTAATAATTTGGCGGTCATTTTTTCTACCCAATGTTAATAATTAAATAAATTCGCTGGTCAAATCCGCTAGTATAATCCGCTAACGCTAACCGCTAACTGCTGATTGTCAAACAAGAACATTGCGAGGTAGTTCTCACTTCAATTTGTTGTGTGATTTGAATATTTTCTTTGTCACAAAATCTCTCAAAAGTAGTTAATATAGTTGGCTTTATTAATTATATTTTTTTAATTTTTTCATGGTATTAATAAAATACTTGGTAAATAAATATATAGCATTATTTTATGTTATAACTTCGATATTTAATTAGAAAAATAGTGCACAAAAAAGATAATAGATAATGTGGTGAATATAACCAATTGATGAATTTGAATGTAAAAATTTTTACATTTGAGAAAAATAAAGACAATATAACTAATGAAAATATTTCTTTTAATTAATTTATTGATAATTAATAATTTTTTTTTTCACTGAATAAAGACATTGTAAGGACAATGTAGCGAATATAATCAATTAATAAATTTGAATATAAAGAATTTTTATATTGAAGAAAACTAAAGACAATATAACTAATACAATTATTTATCTTATTTAATTTATTAATAATGAATAATTTTTTTTTTGAATAAAGACATTGTGGACACATAATTCTAAATTAAAGAAATGCATATGTATTATTTTTTGTTGTAACTACTAAATTATTATTTATATCTACTATACTAATAAGAGCCCAAGAGAGTTAGGCCTATAATGGGTAGAAAAAATGGCGGTCACAGATTTTAATCAAATGAATGGCTCAGATTAATTAAAAGATTGATAAGATTTAAATTTTACACTAAAATTTCCTAAAATACCCACACACCGTTACTAATTCCGTTAAAATTTTAAGAATTGCCGTTAGTTCACCGTTAACTTACTCATTGATTTCAATAAAAAAAAAAATAAAGGTCTTAGGTTCGAACCTCATCCCAATCAAAGTTGGCATAATTAGTACTCTATTTTACTCTTATTAAATTATATAAATAATAATTTAGTAGCTACAACAAAAAATTATAGATATGCATTTCTTTAATTTAGAATTATGTGTCCACAATGTCTTTATTCAAAAAAAATTATTTATCAATAAATTAAATAAGAGAAATAATTGTATTAGTTATATTGTCTTTATTTTCCTACAATATAAAAATTCTTTATATTCAAATTTATTAATTGATTATATTCGCTACGTTGTCCTTACAATGTCTTAATTCAGTGAAAAAAAATTATTCATTATCAATAAATTAATTAAGAGAAATATTTTCATTAGTTATATTGTCTTTATTTTTCTCAAATGTAAAAATTTTTACATTCAAATTCATCAATTGATTATATTCACTACATTGTCTATTATCTTTTTTTTTTTTTTGCACTATTTTTCTAATTAAATATAAAAGTTATAATACAAAATAATTCTATATATTTATTTACCAAGTATTTTATTAATACCATGAAAAAATTAAAAATATATATAATTAATAAAGCCAACCATATTAACTACTTGATAGATTTTGTGACAAAGAGAGTATTCAAATCACACAACAAATTGAAGTGAGAACTACCTTGCAATGTCCTTGTTTGACAATCAGCAGTTAGCGCGGATTATATTAGCGGATTTGACCAACGAATTTATTTAATTATTAACATTGGGTAGAAAAAATAACTGCCAAATTATTAAATCAAATGAATGGTTCAAATTGTTCAGGTTTTAATTTTTTTTAAATTTTTTTTCTAATTTATCCTTAATTATATGATTATCCATTTAACTTTTTCGTTAAATACCGTTAATTCACCGTTAGTCTAATTATAATATTAACATCTAATATAGAATTATAATTACACCATTAATCTAATTCTAATATTAAAGTCTTAATAGAACTTAACCACAAATCCTAATGTCGAAATCTCCTCAAACAATATTAGTATATATTTAATATTTTATGCCCTAATTTTTATTTGTTCTCCCTTATGTCCCGTATTTGGTTTCAACCATACCTATACAATTATTTTATTGACAATTATAATCAATCTTGACTATATTATCTTGCATTTGTAAACTTAGAATTACCTATTTAACCCGCACGGGCTTAGCTCAATGGTTTAGTGGGCAGTATTTGGGAGAAGAGACCAAGGTTTGAACCTCGGCGGCGGCAGTGCGGGAATTATGTCCAAAGTTGGCAGATTCCTTGTTCGCACCGACATTTGGTCCTGTCTGCTGAACCATTGAGTCACCGTGATTTACAACTTCCTACAATGCTTTGTCGGGTCAGAGCGTGGGGGGCCCTTGGGGTAGGGGACTCAACCTTTGAGAGAAGAATTACCTATTTAAATACGCAAATTCAACCTTCAATTATCTATGCATGAACAATTTCAATATAATCTTGCCTTAATATACTTTAAAGTACTTATTTAAAAAAAAAAAAAAACATTGGGCATCATCCCAATCGCGCAATGCGCGTAAAAAACTAGTAATTTAATAAGAGTAAAATAGAGTACTAATTATGCCAACTTTGATTGGGATGAGGTTCGAACCTAAGACCCTTTTTTATTGAAATCAATGAGTAAGTTAACGGTGAACTAACGGCAATTCTTAAAATTTTAACGGAATTAGTAACGGTGTGTGGGTATTTTAGGAAATTTTAGTGTAAAATTTAAATCTGATCAATCTTTTAATCAATCTGAGTCATTCATTTGATTAAAATCTGTGACCGCCATTTTTTCTACCCATTATAGGCCTAACTCTCTTGGGCTCTTATTAGTATAGTAGATTAAATGGAATTGTTGGGTACGATAAAACAAACTCTGCTGCAGTAACCAATCGCCGACGCAGATAGACCAACATGTGGTGCAGAGAAGCAATAGTTATCCCGTGGAACCGTGTTCACCATGTGCATGTGAACATGACATAGATCTATAATTTTTAAGTTGTAAATTTATAATTTTTATATTATAGATTCATAACATTTATACTGTTGATTCATAATTTCTATACTATAAATTCATAATTTTTATACTATAGATTCATAATATCTGTACTGCGAAGATGAAATAATGCTATTGCAAAGAGAGAAAAGTCGTTAACAATAAAAAAAAAAAAATTATGAATCTACAACATAAAAATTATGGATCTACCCATGTGTTCACCTTCTGCAACAGAGAAGCCAGGAACTTTTTCACAGCATAATTTGCAACAGAGAAGCCAGGACTGTCTTCTTTGTCTTTTAGTGTGGGCCTAGACCCAGTAAGCAGCCCACTGCCCACCCTTTTTTGTTTTTAGATAGGGGTCTATTATCAAAATGTAATTAACCCTTTAAACTAACAAAAGTTTTAATTAGTGCTTTTTTTTTATGCAATTAAATTAATTAATAGGTTATATCTAAATTACAGGTAATTTTTAAAAAAATTAATTAAAATAAAAAATATTTTCAATTCAAATAAATTAATATATAAATAAATAAAAATATCCATCGACTGCTTGGCTTCTTTGTCTAATTGGATGCAAAAGTCGGCCTGGCTTCTCCGTCCAGTTTGACCATGACGGAGAAGCAACCTAGTTGTTTATTTATTTATTTATTTATAATTTTTTAAAATAATCAATTTTACCTACAATTATTTTGTGTTTACCTGTAAATTGAGCTAATTACACAATTTAATAAGTTATGGACTTAATTGCGTACAAGTGAAAATATGGAGGGCCTAATTGAAGTTCTTGTTATTTTATGAGACTAACTACATTTTCGCTAATAATTGAAAAGACTATTTGACTAGGGGTGTAAATGAGCCGAGCAGCTCGCGAGCGGCTCGGTCAAAGCTCGGCTCGAGCTCGGTCAAAATTGAACTCGAGCCGAGCTCAAGCGGCTCGTTTAGTAATCGAGCTCGAGCCGAGCCTAGATATTCTAGGCTCGTAGCTCGTCGAGCCGCTCGCGAGCCATATAATATATAATATATAATACATAATATAATATAATATAATATAATATAATAATAATATATAAAAATAACAATTAGAAATTAAAATTTTAAACTTAAAATCCCTAAAAGATTTCTATTATTTATGTGTGGATAAAACAAAGTAGTTTGAATTTTAAATCAAAAGTATTAAATAGGTCAAATTCAATGTCAAAATCGAGCTCGAGTTCGAACTCGAACAATCGAGCTGCTCGAGCAGCCCGAAAATTACCGAGCTCGAGCTCGAGCCTCAGTTCTCAAGCTCGATTGAGCTCGAGCTCGAACTCGAGCCGAGCCTTCATTAACGAGCTCGAGCTCGAGCTCGAGCCTACCCAGGCTTGAGCTCAGCTCGGCTCGTTTACACCCCTATATTTGACTACTTTTTTTTTTTTTTTTACTGCATTCTTTTACCCAACGTTCAAATTAAATTACCTGAGCTCCCATCTCAAGGTCAATGAAATTCATTTCAGATTTTTTTTTATTTGAAATTAAATTACCTGAGCTTGATCCAATATTCCATTCTCTCCCATCTCAAGGTCAATGAAATTCATTTCAGATTTTTTTATTTTTTTATTGAATTTTTTATTTATTGACTAAACTTAGTTGAATCTGAATTAGTTTGATTTTTGTATGAATAGCATACCCAGAAAAAAAAAATGAAAAAAAGAAGCAATCTTTAATAGTCCTCTCGAATATGACAATGAAGATTCATTCTATTATTGTAAAAGATTTTATTAAATCTCTAGATTTGGTAAAGATTATGATACTTCAAAAAACAATATAAATGCAATGAATTAACTGCAAGACAAGCTAAGGAATGAAAGATTCATCATGAATAGGCATAACTTTATTGTTATTCATTCAAACAGAATCTTTGAATCTAATCCTTATTTTATACAAAGAGACATGCATCATTATATGCACATATCATATGCCAACCCTCCCATAACATTATTAATTTACAGAGGAGGAAGAACACAACAACCACACCCATCTTAATGAGCAGCCATTAATGAGAAAACGAATAAAGCGATGTCGTTTTCAACCCCACTAATTTCATTATTTTTTAAAAATTTTCTCAGGATATATATATCTTAACTAAAGATTCCATTATATTTTTTTTTCTATTGACTGCTCCGAAAATTCCGTGACGTCATCAATAGGTCCATTCCTGTGGCAACTGCATCTCGTGGGTGTTCATTTCGCTTGTCTGTGGGAGTTGGATGTCGGTTGCCTGTCGCAGTCCTTGTGAGAGCAAATCTCGTGTCTTCTTGCTATCTGTAAAAACGTCGAACACTTAGCGTGCATCATAAACCTTTGCGGAAACAACATAATTAAACTTAGTAAACCCGTCGGTAGATTGAATAAGGAAAAATTCGTTTGTTGCAGACAGAAAGATGGAGATACATACCGCGGTCGAGGTGATTAGGAGTGCATATATTGGAGTGTGACGACGAAGAAGCATCCATGTGGTTGAAGTGAATTTGCAGAGCTTGTAATACCCTCACTGGTATTAAAACAGTCGAACATCCTGGCAATTGTCAAAACACACATATTATCTATTAGCTTAGACATTTAGTTGAGTTGCAGCACATGCTTTAATTTGGTATCAGAGTCATGTTAAAAGTCATCGGTCCAATAAAAAAAGAGACTATAGTTCACTTGGAGCCTAAAAAGTAATCGGTCCCATAAAGGAACGTGTTGCAACATATAATCATTAATGTGCAATCCAACAATTAGCTTAGACTTTTAGTTGAGATTGGGAGAAAATTTTTTAGTTGAGATGGAACACATATTTCAAATATAACGACAAATGGTAAAACAGTAAAATTCTCATTTATTTAAGTAGTTATCTATGTATTTTCAAAAAAAAAAAAGTAGTTATCTATGTGTCCATCTTCACAGTGATGGGGCATAAGCTACTACCAAAAATAACATCCGAGAGAAAACATTAAGAGCGACATGCACGTTGGGTGGTACAGTGACATTTCAATCAAACACAGGTCATATGTTTCCATCACACCAAAAAAAGAAATTAATTAAAAGACGAAAAATAAGTTAGTAGATGTTGCGTGGCTGCATTAAACACGCGAACAGGTGAGTGAGCACTGGCATCCATCCACGACCAAAAGATTCCAGATTTATAGGGCAAGGTTGTCGGTTTATTATTCTTTCCGAAGGTTGGCCGATCTGGATTCCAGATTCCCAAAATAACAAGATGTCAAGATATATATATATGCCCAAATCCCGAGGAGGGGCTCTAGTTGGTGAACCGAGATTTCGTATTTAAACATTATTGCTCTGCTTGATAAAATAGTTAGCTTATAGATCAATTTTGATTTATTTAACCACTATTAGTTGTTTGACTTGGTTTAAAAATCTGTTTGATTAATTAGTTTTTTGTAGTCCAAAATGCTAAAATTCAAAAAGCTACTCAAAATAATTTTTTCAATTAGCTTTTTAAGAAAAGAAATATACCAAACAGCAAACAGCTAACTGCTAATTTACCAAACACATTTTTACAATACGCTAATGTTATCAACTAGTTATTCTCTAATTAACCCAATCAACTAACAACTAGCAGCCATTTACCAAACATGCGCTATTATCAATAATTTTTTAGTGTCATAAAATTTCTTAATTAGTTGATTCTCTAATATAATTTATGAGTTATGTAAGAATTATCATGTACTAATTACAATTTCTTTAAGTGACCTAAAAAAATGTAAATACGGAGAGCATCTAATTTGATAGGGAATTAGAGACACCCATATATCCCACAAAATCTGATTCTTGGCGGCCACTATGTAAACGTACTAACAGTAGTGTAGGCATCACATGAACCTAGTTGCAGTTCTATGTTAAAAGTCCTTTTTTTTTTTTTTTGAAGACATGTTAAAAGTCTTCTTACCTTAAAACTCCTAATATTTCACGGAATAAATTCTCTCGAATCTAATTCCATCACGTTGTTGGTCAGTACAGTTTAAATCTTCACATTAAAAGTCCACCGTTACCTAATCTTATGCCTGCCTGTAATTAATGAGCTTTAAACTCATTTCAACTGCATTAATGAGTTCTTACACGAGTTGTTATGCCTTGCAACTTGTAAGGTGACTCTAGTCCTAAACGACGTATAAATTGTGTATTTTAGTAGTTGAATTGTAAACTTTTAATATATAAATTGTGTTTCTAAGTCAAAACACATAACAACTATAAAATGAAATTTCTGAATACAATACATGATCATTAAATCCTAATTTGTTAATATTGTGTGGCTGACTCTGTGATGAAATATCTTACGGCTTGTAGGTGGGGCAAATAGTATCACTATCTTAATTAGTGATAATGGCCACTGTGCAAGTGACAACCAACTTGTAAAGTGCACCGGCCTAACAACTGCCTGGGAATATATAATTATTATTTTTAAAACTTCACATAATTATTTTAAGATTTATTAAAATTAAAACACGACACAAACAAATAATGTAAAGATAACGTAAATTGTTATAAATTGAACTAATATGTTATAGGTATCAGTTTCATCAGATATTATATTTAATCAAAAATAATAATAATCACTCTAACGTAACCAATCATGACTTGTAACATTTTAGTGATATTTTTATGATTATATATTTTTAAAATAAAAAATATGCATGAATAGAGAATGGGAAGGGATTCTCCAATTGGGATAGTATGTACTATATAGTGCCCATATGAAGAAGAATCCTAACTGGTATTTTTGGAGTGGAATGATAGGATTCATTGAATATACTCATTCTGGACAGCTGTATTTTTATATAAAATAAAATATTAAAAGACTTATTTGGCCATTTTTAAGATATTTTTTTGAATACTCTAGATTTTATTACAACATTGTAGTACTTGTAGTTACTACCACGCCTATGGAAGTTCAATCTCATAATCTCCCATATATGAGAGTCACTACATTTTATCTGAACACCTGACCATTTTTAATATTAGTTTCACTTTAGGAAAAGTAATAGAATGAAGAAAGAAAAAAGGTGCAATTGACAAAAGAATTGGTTTTAAAAGCAAAAGGTAGAAGGAAGGATGGAACAAGAAAAGAGTGGCGTACCGGATTTTTTTTTGGGTTCAGTTGGGTGTTGGTTGGTTCCACGGGGCAAGAAAACGCCTGTCCCACCACTATGGGAATCGCTCCTGTGCCCGGACCGCCCGAGGAAGATCGCCTGCATACCCGACCCGGTTTTAATCGGATTCGCCTTTCCTCCTCCGCGACCGCCGCCTCTTCTGTGACCCTTTTTCGACCCGTACGGCGGCGGCGGCGGCGCATCTTTGTGTTCGAGTTGTGATTTGGTGAGTGTTTTTCTCTGCTGTGTTGACTCCCCTGCCTTGGCTCGTCTTCCCCGCGAAGCGTGCCCCTGTTTTATCACGGACGGTTGGTTCTTCAATCTGTACACCTGCGGAGGAAACGCCATTAATGGAGGCTGCGGAGCTCAGAGTGAAGCGAGAACAAAAGGACTGGAAAAACTTTTCTGCTTACTTCGATTGGCCGCGCGGAATCGTTGAACATGAAGGCGGATTGATTTGCAGTTACAGAGTCCGATTCCAACAGCTCCTTGTTATCGTAATAACACACCGAGCTCGCATTGCAATTGCACCATTTTCCTTCGTATCCACATCCGCAAGGCTACAGAACACAATTTCACGACGATTCAATAAACTAAATCATCAGAGAGAAGAAACTGATGAACGAGAACGGTTAGTTAACCGTTACCTGCATGAATTTGGGGGAATATTCCGGCGGAACTTCAACTCCTCCATTGTCATCTTCGAAGGTTTCATCCTCATCATCCTGAAGCATGTAATCCGCCATCTGCCGAGCCAACTCAGCGATGAAATCATCGTCGTCTTCTCCACCTCCGCCATCCTCGCTCTCTGTTTCGGTTCCGGTCGAGCCCAGCTCCGACCCGAACGACGTGCTAAACCCGTCGGACGACGACGTTTCGGACCCGAATATCGAATCCACGCCCCAAACGGGAAGACGCAGAGGAGAATCGTCTTTCGCATGCAACTCCGGAGAAGCCATAATCCGGGTCTACAATCGGAGCCCCGAACCCACACAACTGGACTCTCGGTATTTTGTATAGAGGGAGAATGCGCTATTAATAATATGAAAGTAGAAGAGGCGTTTGTATATAAATATAACAAATGACAACTGGGCGGGTCAAGTTGAATTTGGACTTATTAGTGGTTGGACTGAACAGTTTTGTAGGCCGACAAATCACCTGCCATTTGTTGGAATTTGTAAATAAAAATAATAAAAACTTACAACCAAAAAAATAACGTAATTCTATACCATTATGAGATTTTCTATCGTACTAATTTTATTAGGTATAGGTATAATATATGGCAAATTATGCTATCCGCACCTTTGATGGCGCTAAAACGGCGTCGTTTTTACGGAAAACGACGCTGTTTTAACTAAAATAAAAATAAAATTGTTCGAAACGCCGTTAACGGCATATTCATTATAAAATTATGAATATACAGTTATGACATTATGAATGTACAGTTATAGAATTATGAATGTATAGTTATGGAATTATGAACTTATAATTATGAACATAGAGCTTCAAAAATTATGAATGTTCGGTATGGAATTATGAATATACAGTATGGAATTATGAATGTACAGTTATGGAATTATGAATATACAGTTATGGAATTATGAATGTACAGTTATGAAATTATGAACATAGAACTCTGACATTATGAACTTACAATTATGAACATAGAGCTTCGAAAATTATGAATTTACAGTTATTGAATTATGAATGTACAGTTACGGAATATGAATGTATAGTTATAGAATTATGAATGTACAGTTATGGAATTATGAATGTATAGTTATAAAATTATGAACACAACGCTGTGAATATATGCTCCTATAACGAAGCGGTCTGAAATTAAATTTAAAAAAAAAAAAAAAAAAAGAGGGAAGATAACGGTGCCTGACGGCACCGTTACCGTGCCCATGATGCACGCTGGGCACGAGCCCACAGCATAACTATCGATAATATATACAATGTTTTAAATCTTATTAGTACTTAATACTTGGTACCTATTATCAATACAATAAAAAAAAAATTATTGTATCAGTATTATGAATAACGATATCGAGTATGAAATTTCAGTAAAATTTATGTATAATATATTAATATACAAATATAGGTATTAAAAAGAGGGTGGTGTAGTTGCTCTCCTAACATGCCTATAGATGGTGGTATGGTTTTAGTAGTTTTAATGGTTGGCTACCATCTCTATTCTCTAATCTCTATTACTTTTTTCACAATTTTTTTTATATAATAAATATACATTGACTTCATTGTATTGGTACAATTTTTTTGTTCCCATTTGGGTTTTTCTTTGCTTTAATTGAAAATGCACAAAGTAGGAAAAGTAGTTGACTTGTAAGTTGTAGGAACATTTACAAGTTAACTAACTTGGCTACCTATGATTTGAAATTCCAATAGCATTACATTATTTAGAAAATCACATGAATATTTCATGAAGAATATTATTCTTTTTTCAAAAAATCAGATTATGAATTAAAGCAACATAAAGTTATTTGATTAAGATAATTCAGTAAATATACTTTTAACATGCATCACAAATACTTCTTAACTGACATGTAAAATCACAATTTCACTTGAATTGTATTACGATACTTCCACAAATTATATCATGGATCAGGATCTACAATGCGCATTGTAAACCATAATCCATGATACAATGATTGTAGTACTTCTCTAATAAATATGAAGGATTAGGCACGGCCGCACGGGGTTTGATATCTGGCCTCGACCTATTTTAGTATGTGATTCCCATATGCGCTTGCCTATTTTTTCAAAGGGCAAATGGGGTAATTTGTTTCCCAATTTAGGGGGCTATTTTTTCTATTTGTATAGACAATCAATTTGTAATTAATACACATGATTTGTGGAGTTTACTTTCCGAATTTATGCGAAGTACCATAATTAGGATCGAAATACATAAATACCCTAAAAAGATTTGAAAGGATTCAAAATCTCTTTTACAGACAGCAATAATATTTTACTGCAGTCACCCTTATTTTTTCTTAATTAGCTATTCTCTTGATTTCTTATTGATCACGTTGGTCATACGTCAATCACATAAATTGTAAAAAGCAATAAATTATGAATTCCATATAAAGTAAATAATACATCATAATAAATTAGCAGCTAGACCAACCTAAATCTATGCATTAGATCTACTAAGTTGTTGGGGTCTTTAAAATCATGTTAGAAAATTGAAAACTAAGTACAAGAGAGAATGTTGGTGACAACTCTTAACCGGCTGAAGATAGGATTTTTGGGTGGAGTTGTGGAGTTTGAGAAGAAATTTGCAACAATGACGTTTAAGAAATGATATGATGAAATTAAGATAGACTTTTATTAGAGGAATTGTTAAAAAGCTTCTAAGAAAAGCAAACCCAAAAGAGGACAACACCACCCTCAATCAATGGTTACTAGAATATTGATATCCCCATTTTGGAGTCATGGACTATATCACCACTTCTTTTTCTTTTTTTGGGAGGATTATTATATAAAGATTGGAAGGATTTAGAAAAATTACACTTTTAGTTTTTTTTTAATTATTTTTTTATTTTTAAAGAAGGTGAAATGATATAAATTTAGCGTCAAAATTTTTGTCGGATAAATTTAATCTAGCAACAATTTATGTGATAGACAAAATTAATATTTTTTGACAATGATGAAAACTCACAGCAAATATTTGAGGGTGTGCACTAGGTAGGTAAACAGTAAACTACGCCTTATGACTCTAGCCGATAAATCGTAATATGATAAATCAACTTTCATTAAGAATTGAACATGAGACATTGTGATTACCAACTAAACAATCTTATCAATTTAATTGGAGTTTCTCCAACTAAATTTACATTAAAAATATCACTTTTATCCAAAAAAAAAAAAAAAAATCTTAGAAATTTATAATAAGATAAGATGAGATATAGCCATATAGGAACTGAATTACAAAAGAGTCCAGTGTGGAGTTATTACCAAACATTAGTTCAGAACTAATGGAACGTCCAACATCAATGTCGTTGTAGTATAGTGGTGAGTATACCCGCCTGTCACGCGGGTGACCCGGGTTCGATCCCCGGCAACGGCGATTTTTTTGGCACGATTTGTGTACCGAAATGTATGGAAAAAAAACACCCTTTTCCTTGCCCCGTAAGAGACGTTCATAGGGAATCCCGCATCACATTTTCTTGCTTAAACGCCACTCCTCAGTCCTTTCAACAATAAACAATGTCGCCTTGAAGATGATAGCACCCAAAGTCGTTCGTCGTCTTCTCCGTCCTCAAAATGCCTCAAACCAGTACAACAGCCATCCACATAATGGCCTTGGACGGCATAGTAAACGTGAACTCCATCTTCACCATCGCGCTTTTCATCGGCCTCACTTCGACCCCTTCAGACCATTCACACACCCTGGTCAGCTCCGCCGCCTGCGCCGCCACCGCGGCCACGGCGGAGCGCCTCGTCTCCCGCCACGTCTACTCCTTCAGCTCCTTCCTTTTCTCCAGCCTAATCGCGCTGGGACTAAAACAGGCCATCAGGATTGCCAACCATGACCATATATTGAATTACCACGCGGTTTTGCACGGCGCCGGGATCGTTGATCTTAGAATGTTGCGGTTTGGGATTCTGGGTTCGGCTTTGGGTTCTGGTTTTGGGTGTGTTTTCTTGACCCTGGCGCTGGTGGATTGGGTTCAGATTAAGCTGGGGGTTTTGGCCTGTTGGGGCTATTACACTTTGGCTGCTACCATCCCTCTCGTCACGTTAGTCCCTTTTGGTCTCATCATTTATATTTCCATTGTGTTCCATGCTTTCCGGCAATAAGATCAGACCGCGAATCTAGATTAATCTTACGGCAATGAAGACATTGAATGTGAATCTGTATTTTAATGTATTTTACTCCTTCCAACGTTTGGAATGGGGAAGTATTTTAGTATGGAAATCTTTGTTTATTACACAACTTGTACTATTTAAGGTTTTCCTAATCTCGAAGTCAACTAAGACTGGAGCTTTTCTACTTTACATTGAAACCAGATTTATCAGATCTGCAACTTTGAAAAGACTTTGATTCTTGATATGCTTTTGTCACTGTTATGGCAAAGGATCAGAATACTACCATACGCTTTCGAGCTTCTTGCTGTTTCTTGCTTTTCATGTCGGGTTTCTCCTCCATTTCTTTTGTCTTCTGGTCTTCTTACACTGCTAGCAGCTTCTTCTCAGTAGCTAAGATTGTGCAGAGAGAGGAGGAGCATCCTGTTAATCTTCTGGAGTTTCCATATGCTTGGAATCACCTTGATTTTGCATCAGAATCGCCACACAGGCAGCTCAAGATTGCTCTTTTTGTCAAGAAATGGCCAGACAAGAACCGCGCTGGGGGGCTTGAACGCCACGCCTTAACTCTCCACCTTGCCCTTGCAAAACGCGGCCATGAACTCCACATCTTCACCTCCAACTCGTCGTCCTTCCCTGTGTATCCCCTCCTCGCCAATCTGCATTTTCACCTGTCAAATCCGACGGCTGCTGGTTATTTAGACCAGGCCACTGTCTGGGAGCAATTCCGGGCTGAGAACTCGACGGGGAGGCCCTTTGATGTGGCTCACACCGAGAGTGTAGGGCTCAGGTACACCAGATCAAGAAACCTGAGCAACCTTGCTGTTAGCTGGCATGGAATTGCATACGAATCAATACATTCCGATATCATCCAGGAGCTTTTAAGGGCTCCGGAGCAGTCTCAGTCGATTGGTTTGACTGAGAGAGTGAAAAAAGTTGTGGAAGAGGTCAAGTTTTTCAAGCACTATGCTCACCATGTGGCCACCAGTGACCATGCAGGTGAAGTGCTCAAGAGGATCTACATGATACCAGAAGAACGCGTTCATGTCATCCTCAATGGAGTAGACGAGCACGTTTTCATACCAGATGCTGCAAAGGATATAGAATTCAAGCTAAAATTTGGCATTCAAGAATCTAAGTCACTGGTTCTGGGATTAGCGGGAAGATTGGTGAAGGATAAAGGGCACCCTTTGATGTTCGAAGCTCTAAGGCAGATATTCATGGAGAATTCCACATTCAGAGACAGTGTTCTTGTTCTGGTTGCAGGTGACGGTCCATGGGGAACTAGATATAAAGAATTAGGATCAAATTTACTGGTTTTGGGGCCATTGGAGCAGGCTGAATTGGCAGGGTTTTATAATGCAATAGACATATTTGTGAATCCAACTCTCAGAGCTCAAGGACTCGATCATACTCTCCTGGAGGCTATCCTTACTGGTAAGCCATTAATGGCTACTAACCTACCAAGCATAACACAGTCTATAATTGTCAGCAAAGAGATGGGGTATACGTTTTCACCCACAGTGGAAGCACTCAAGAAATCTCTTTATCAAGTTCGGGAAGATGGGAGGGAAGTTCTTAAGCAAAAAGGGAATTTGGCTAGGGAGAGGGGTTTGAAGTTATTTACTGCAACAAAAATGGCAGCAGCCTATGAAAGCCTATTCTTTTGTATCTATAGTGATCATTACTGTATGTACAAACCTCAGATTAGTTGAATACAATGTTTTTATAAGCCACAAATTCGGAAGGGATTTACACAGAGTCACATACCACATAAGAGATAACAAAAGGACGTGCATTCAACAAAAACGAACTCTTTTTCTCAGAGCTTGATATAATTTTAAGAGTGCAATACTAGTTTAAGTTATACTAAAATGTAATCAAGTGAACCGGGACCGGGGATAAAACTTCTGAAGTTCATGATCACAAGAGCCTGTTCACAACTAATAAATTATCTTCCTTGAATTTAAACCATTCTGTTCCGAGGCGTGAAGAATTCCTGCAGGTCGTTTTGGAACAAAAGACAGTCAAACAGTAAGCAACACGACTTACCACAAAGTGTAGAAGAAATGTGATATGAATCAGAATTTAGAGAAGAAACAAGAACTAGCCAGACAATAGAGAAGTCGAACTGAAAATAACCAAAACCTCGGGTCTTAAAGAATAAAAATCTCCAGACAATCTACACAAGCTTCTATCACTAACTCACCTTTGATAATATTAGGAATTTGCGTATTCATGGCAGAACAGTGTCTTAATAATAAACTGACCCTGCATAAAAGATGCAAACATATTTATATTCCATGAATTTTTCTCATTAAATTGTACAGAATTCTCATATTGTCAGCAACCATACCATCCCACAAATTCCCAGGGGCACTAAAGTTGTTTCCATTGGGGTCATCCTCCTTTTTGTTGTACTGTCGCATTTAAAAGTTCAAACACGAGTCAGTGCCACCATGAGTATAATTACTATACATAGGAAAAACATAATGATCAGTTTTCCAGGAACAGGCTCACATTAGGCAATGGTCCAGATGACTTGATATACATGTCCTCTTGCGCACCATAGTAAAGCGATGAACTCAATGGGCACGGTTCCACTCTATCCTGAAATCCTGTTCCTCGGTACAGACTTTTAGTCACAACATCTGTGCTCATAAAACATTTCCACATTATTTTTCAAGTGTCAAACTTAGGTTTTGCTCAAGTCTAGTGCATATGAACCTCGTGTGTTCAATCAAGCAAATTGCAAAACAACTTATGCTGCTTATAATGAACTATGATATGATACATCTATTTAGAATTCATCCCAAGATCATCAGGAAAAATAAGCACATAGTACACAGACACATATTAACTTAAGACAGGGCTATGATGAGAAAATAAAAAGAAAAGGGCACAAAGAAGGTAGCCTACCAGGAAGTCCTTTTTTCCATGCCTGACCTGCAGATGAGTGATTCTCAAGAGATCCCATAAGGTCAGAAGTTGGAGACTTTCTTCCCCCAGCCTGTAAGCCAACAGAACATATGCTGCATAATATTCTACCAAGATTTGATGCTTCAAAACTTAAGCTTAAATATGCAATCCCATCATGTTTCATAAACATGATCAAAGAGTCAAACTTGTAACTTGTGGTTCCATTGATAATCATCATTCAATTACCATTAAAAAAAAGGGCATCATATATGCATGGACTAATAAGTTTCATAAGTGGCTATATATCATGAATTTCAACACAGTCTTTTCCACAAACTGGTGGTTGGCACTCTCAAGTATCATACGATGCTTCAAATCGAGCACTGAAAACCCACTTAACAATCAAGAAACATGCAATACCATCAACCAAAGAGGCTAGAAGATTGAGGAGAAAAGCGTACCGCGGATGGAGGCGGGAAGATTGAGGAGAAAATCCCAGAAGAGTTTGACGGCTGGGATGAACCCTTTGCACCGAAAAGATAATCCGTGAGCGACGAAGCGGAACCCGCGGCTTGCTTCTTAGAACTTTCCATTATCTTCTTTGGGATTCTTGGAGCGGATGATCAGAAGGTGCGGGAGGAAGAGAGCGAAGAAGAAGAATAAGTCGTTTTAAAGATAATTTGAAGAGACAAATGAAGAAGGAAAGAAACAGGGCACGTGAAAATCGCAATCACAGATGGTAGTAGTGAGAACTGAAGCAGACTCTACGAATTGACTGTACAAAACCGGGAATTCATTCCATTACACTTCTCCACGTAAAAGACTAACACTCCATTTTTTTTTTTTATTATTTTTTTTAATACATAGGTTTCAGCTTATGTCAGATTGGTAAGGTTATCAACCATTATGCTATTTATTTATGGGACACTTTATTTTCTCCCAAATATAAATATCAATTTGATAGGATACGTTTTGTTTATATATCAAAAAATAATAATATAATTTCTATTTTTCTATAATAGAAATTTTATTATTTGTTACATTAAAATTTAATGTGATTAATTATTTGGTTTTGATTCGTTATGCAAGTTGTTTAGCGAATCATGAAACTCATGTATTGATAAGGGTTCTGTTTGACAAACCTAGCTGAAAAGCTATAAGCTCGGAGCTGAAAATTAAAGAGCTGTTAAGCTAGCTGTTATGATTGAAAGTGTGTGATAAAATTAACTTTTTGATAATATGATAAATGTAAAAAGACTAAAAATGACATCTTCATAAAATTTAAATTAGTTTCTTTACATATTAAAATTTAACATTTTGTCTTTAAAAAAAATATTAAAATTTTAAAATAAAATTATTAGCATAATCATAATCTAGCATCTCATAATGAAGTAGCAATATTGTTGCAAATCTCATAATAATAATAATAATAATAATAATAATAATAATAATAATAATAATAATAATAATAATAATAATAATAATAATAATAATAATAATAATTGCGGTGAAAGTTGCGGATAAAGGAGAAGAGAAAATGGTTTTAATTGGAAAAAGTAAATTATGTCATTTCTTTAAAATAATAAGGATAAAGATAAAAAAAAAATTAGGAAGCTAGGATTTTGTTTTGAAACGCTACCGTTCCAAAATAAGCTCTTATTTTAAGTTATGAACTTATTTTGGAAACATTACCAAACAGAACTTATAACTTATTAGTAGCTTAAAATAAGCTATAAACTCTGTCAAACAAAGCAAAAGACTTTTGGTTCTGGATCGGGGTATGAAATGCCATTCCCCTGTATTTGCGCGTTAGTTAATGATAATTAATGAATGTCACTTTTCAAAACAAAAATGTTTGGTTTAATTACATTAGTTTTTGTTTTTAATTATTATCATTCACCATTCATTTGTATACAGTATTGGATATTCTCATTACTATTACACTAATCAATTCCATTTAAATTGTACATGCAAAATTTCCTTCTTACTAAATAAAATTTAATATAGAACCTTTTAAATTTTAATATACACAACTTGTTATAAAAGTCTAAAGAGGTCATTCAACCTAACGAGGATTCTTAGTCCACCTCGGTCCTTGTCCGTGGCCAAAAGCGATGAGGGTTTAGTAAGCATGGACCTTCGGTCCAATATAATGCGAGGCATCTTTGACTTATGAAAATTTCAAAATTAAGGAAGCTAAGCATTGTTTTGGGAAAGTTTGTATTTACCAAATTTATGTAATAGGATTATTATGAATTTTATTTTATATGTGATGAAATTATGTTTTATTATATTTTAAATTATGATACAACATTGTTAAATAGAAAGAATCACAAAATTTGAGGACAATCTCAGTCGAATCGGTTGGGTTGTTGTCTTATAACCACAATGTTTTATAGTGCACTTTTGGGTAGCGGTCTCTTTTTGTAACCAAAGAATTACAAAAATCTCAACATTTTAGTACAATCAACATTAGTGTAAATAGTTTTTTTGGGGTAGTGAGGAAACATTTCACCACTTCTCAAAGTGTACAAAGAGTAAGTCATGCTCTATTGCTCTTATGTAATAATCACATGAATCATGTTCCACTACTACTCGCCCACTTCTTGCGATGCAAATAAAAAAAAATTATAATAAAAAAATTATAATTATTATCCAATAATGTATATTAAGTGGCGTGTAAATCACACATAAAATGTAAATATAAATAATAATTTTCCTTTATTAGGATAGGCCACGCTTATATTCTAAAAGTTGACCCCATTTTTCTCCCTTTGGACTTTGGAGATCAAATGTCAGTTGTGTTCATTCCCTTCCGCAAGTCTAGCGCCGAAAACCAACGTGGAAAGTTGATGAATGATGAGAAACGTACCAAAGAATCAAGAATGATTTCACTTGGATCGCCCTGAAGCTTGTGGAAATTGCACTTGGACCCCTTTATGTCTAATAAAGTTCCACTTTACTACCTAGTACCTACATCTATGAAAATTGTAATACAGAATATTTGATTAGATATGTTGATTTCAAAGGGAGGCTAAACATGTCCATAGAAAGGTATGTATGTGTTCAAATTGGATGGTAGTGTGTTTGGGTGAAAATCCGCTTAGTTTGTAAATCTTTAACAAGGCGTTTGGTTGAATGTAATTGAATTGTAATTCAATGAAAATTCCAATTACATTGTTTGGTTGGAGAGAATTGTAATTTTCTCATTTTGTTAAATTACAATTTAATGGGGGTACTCCATGAATTGCAATTCAATGTTTGTGGGAAAGAGAAAAATAAAAGAAATGACAAAAGTATCATTGGTGATTATTATTATATCATTACACAAGAATATTTTAGTCTTTATACCACTTTTTTCCTTCTCATTCTCAATAATTATATTCCACCATACCAAACAATGTAACTTTAGTTCCTACATTATTCTTTTCTCATCGAGTTGCAATTCATTTCCTTCCCAATTCCTTCATCTCAACCAAACACCTCATAAAAGTATTTTTTTTTTAACGGTATATGTGGTTTAATGTTCCTAGATCTAATGTGTGTTACTTGATATAAGTTTCTTTGACTCTTCTTTGATTTTTTTTTTAATCTAGTTATTATTTTTAAAATAGCATATTCAATATATTTTGAATTTTATTTGTGACGGTAATAATGTTACCGAGTATGTTTGTAAATAAACATAATTGTATTGCTCAAACTCAACACCAATGATGCGAGAAAAGCGAGTACGAAAATGACTAGTGTAGGAGGTGTTATTCGAGACCACAATGGTGCCTGGACCTTTGAGTTCATGACCAAGGTTGGGATTACTAGTAGCTTCATGGCTGAGCTATGGAGTCTCCAAGAGGATCTCTAGTTTGCTAAACATAGGGGGTTCAGCGGGATGGTCGTGGATATGTACTCTGAAACGATTATTCAGGCGATCAAAGGGGATAATGGACCTTGACCTGAGGCTGATACACTTATTGTTGACTGCAAAATCATATTGGAGCAGTTGGGGATTAGCGACATTGTTTATGTTCTTCAAGAGGGGAATCAGTGTGCAAATTTTCTCGCCAACTTAGGACAAGTTAGCGACTAGTGACAAAGTTGTTTGTATACGTGGGATGGAAACATGTGGGGGAAAAAACTACCACTGTCAAGTATCAACATGCGCTTGCAAGATCAAGAGAGTTCATAGTACAACTAAGATCTCAGTCATATACACAACAAGACAAATCCACATCTTCCTACACCATAACCTAATTGCATGATGCTACCACCTGTAACCCAATTGCATATAACATACCAATAAAAAGAAGATGACAATTACTGAAGATGAAGACAATGACAATGTCACCTAAAAGAGAATTACGAAGATTTAGAGAAATTCAAACCAAAAGTAGTATTTATTTAAACTATTGTTTTTAGATTAGCGTTGTTACAAAGTTGCAAACATTTATTTTAATGAAAATTATAATCAATATCTCATATATTATATTGCATTCATATACTTTGAATTACCGATTTAAATAAACAAAATTCAACATTATTCAATTATCTATGCATGAACATTTCATATATAATATTGCATTGATATACTTTGAAGTATTTATTTAAAACGTAAACATTGGACATTATCACATTCACATAATGCGCGGTTAAAAACTAACTTTTAATAAGAAAATTTCACTTTTAGTGATTGACTATTGTGACATTGTCATATTTAATTATATTCTTTTAATTTTGACACATTATATATTTATTTATTTTTACTTTCATTTGTTTTTATTTTAAATTTGTTATTATACCATTTAATAAATATGACTAATATGTAATTTAATCATTTAATTTAAAAAAGTTACAAAAGAGAAAAAGATGCTTGAATGATAAATTAAATATGACTTAATACCCAAAATCGTCCTCGACTATAGTGGTTTTTCTCAATTTCGTCCTAAACGACTTTGGTGACCTAATATCGTCCCAGACTTTTGTGTTTCGCTCAATTTAGTCCTAGACTTTTGCGTTTTTGCTCAATTTAGTCCATCATTTGTTATTCTGTCCATTTGGTGTTAAATAAATAGACAACTCAGTAATTTTAAGATTAGCATCTCTTTACTCATAGACATGTGAATTGCGAAATCTTTTTTTTTTTTTTACGAATTACTCCCAGAATTACTCCTAAAACTGCGAATATAAAATTTGATTTGCAGGTCCGGGAGTAATTCTGGGTGTAATTCGTACAAGAAAGAGGAATTTCGCACTTCACAAGTTGAAAGTAAAGAGAGACCAATATTGATATTACTGAATTGTCCCTTAATTTAACACCAATTTGACGGAATAACAAATGGAGGACTAAATTGAGCGAAACACAAAAGTCTGGGACGATATTAGGTCACCAAAGTCGTTTAGGACGAAATTGAAAAAAATCACTATAGTCGAGGACGATTTTGGGTATTAACTCAATTAAATATTAACTATATTTATTGAATGGTGAAATGATAAAAATTTAAACAAAAACATTAATTGTGATAAATAAATATAAATTAAGGATATAATATGATAAAATTTAAAAAATAAAACTAAAAATGACAATACCAAAATAATTAATTATTAAAAGTATGATTTTTTTTTTTTCTTTTTGAAAGATGGATTTTATATTTTAAAAAATTCCCAATTATTTTTGGTACGTCAAGATCCAATGGGTGTGGGGCGGTGGGGTTGGAGACGGGGAGAGTGGGAAGGACAACGACCTTTGCCTACGT